TTCTTTGTAAAAGAATGATATCGACCGGTGTGCATACATATGAAAGGCTTTACGAAGCAGGGAGTGACATTGCGGCGAGGCGAACACCGCGGTGAAGCCGCTTGAGTGGTGCTTAGATAAGTTAAGAAAGTCGAGTTGCCGCCACACTCACCGACAATCACTCTGGTTTTTCACGAAGATGCACTTGTTTTGGTCGCTAACGTGCTAGCCTTTCCGACCACATGGATCAGCAATCTGCGCGAAGAGAACATAGTATAGCCGAGACTGTGCATCGGCTGCACAATCTAAATTTGAGACTGTGCAGGTAGTCTCTGCCGAAGAATCTGTCATTATTGATAGGCAGGCGTTATTGTGACCGACTGAAAGGTACGAAGACGAGCCATTCGTGACCGACTGACCACCGACGTGAGCGATTGTGCCCGACGAAGAAATTCACCCTTCTTGTATATGCTGTATAATCCGGATACGAGCACTTAGTGTTTTTAGAGCGAAGTCATCCTCAAGGCCGATGTTAACCTCAAGGACGAATTCAACCTTTCTGTGATGTTTCCGACACAATGTGTTTTAACAGCAACTATATAATTCAAGTTAAACAAAGTGTATTGCTTCACATGCACATCTGCAAGTAGCGATAACGCTGGTACTGCAGTGCCTTCTTACTCAATTCACCTGTGCTTTCTCCGCTACAGAACGTTTCGAATGCAAGCAGAACGTACACCCCACAGTTGTAGCTGTCTAGTTGGACTTCAGCATCCGCAACATAGGGAACCACTCTGTAACGTCCTGGTGTAGCCGACATGTGTTGCACAAGTTTGTGCGCTAGTACTCTAAGGGTACCAGTGTAGCTGCTGCTCATGGAATCATAGTACTTGATAGTTGTCTCAGCTGTGTTGATCATGATACCGCACCAGTGCGTGCCGTTACAGCTCACTGGAAGCAGTATAATTGGCCCAGTAATACAACTGAACAAGTGCTTTAACTCTTCGTCTGGAATGCTCACATTTCCTCTCTCCACGATACCCCCATATAGCTGGGTCAACAGTCATGACTTCCTCTTGCTGCCCAAATAGCTTTGCCATTGCCTCTGCCAACGCAGTGTCACTAAGTAGTGATCTGCATGCAAAGTCAACGATCCGAATCTACAAAATACGTATACAAAGTGTCAGTTGCTGCTACCCTTAAAATATGCAAAGTGCTTACCCTTTCAGAGAAAATCGGAATTGCTTCTAGTTTTGACGCCAATTCTGCATCTGGTTCGGCCCGAAATACAGGCGAAATATCCAGTGGCGGTGCCAAGGCTGGTACCAATACAGGTCAAACGTGTCATGTAGCGTCGGTGCTTTTCATACTCCCGTTCCGTTTTTGCGTACACCAACAGATTGACAACTGCCCGAAGCTGCTTTTTTTTTGCCACGCCGAAAAGCCATAGTCGGCGCATGCAATCTCCTCCCGCAAATATTTCACGACGTGAAACTGACAGAGAAGTATACGAGCGTCTGGAAAAGCAGTCTGCAAAACTCCAATTTCGGTAAAGTCTTTGTCCACGATCACACACTGCAGCTTAGTCCAGGAAGGATTCTGCTTCTTAAATTCTTCACACGCCGAAAACAGCGTTTCACTTCGTTCATTTTGTAGGATAGCGTGCTGTACGTACTGACCTTTCCCAAAAATATCATGAGCCATGAACGAAAAAATCTTGTACTTTGAGGCGTTGGTACCATGCGTTGCGTCGATCATTAAAACTTCAGGGAATCTGCTAAAAATGTCAATCATGTGCTTCGTTTGTAGTGTAATACACGTAGCGATTTTCTACAAAACCAAACACACACATTTAGAATCAAACTGACCGATTCACAATACTTGAGACGCAAAACGAACCTTTCCGCCTGATGGGTCCACAAAAATATGCCCTACGTTCCCTTGAGCAGCACAAAAGTCCACCATCCATTTCTTGATGCGTTGAGAGCGAGATGACACGCCCTGGTCTTGTTTCTTTAGCTTCCGGATTAGGTTTCGTACATCTTGAGGAGTTGGATCGCTGCTGGTGTTCTCCACGATAAATTTCAGAATGTTTTGCGTCTTTGTGCCTGATTTTCTGAGGGAGTCGACCGTCGCCAAAACATCTACTTCTATAAGCCACGGCCAATTAGCTGGGAGATGGGAGGGAGCGTCGGGCAGCGCCAAATTCTGAGGATGTCAAATAAC